CCTTCACACGACTCAAGAAGGCCTTGACTTGTGCACCTGTGCTGAAGTTGCCTGACCCCACTCTGCCATTCATCCTAACCACTGACGCTAGTCGGTATGGCATTGGGGCAGTTCTTCAGCAGGATGATGGGAATGGGCCTGTAGAGTTTATGAGTAAGAATATCAAAACTCAAAAGCTTCAGGACTCCACCTACGAGAAAAAGTTATATGCTCTTGCCTGTGCCCTGAAACATAGGAAGCACTTTCTCCTGGGAAGACACTTGAAGATCTTCTCAGATCACTCCACCCTACAGTGGATGAAGTCCCAAGGAGAGCTGAACAATAAGTTGGCACGGTACATTCAGTTCATAGACATGTTCGACTTTGAACTGAAACATAAGAAGGGCTACTACAACAAGGTAGCAGATGCCCTCTCTCGTAGGCCTGACTCTTTTGCAGTGATCTCCTCTACTCACTCCTTTGGAGAGGAGACCCGTCAGACCATTGCTCATCTACTGCCTCAGGACCCGACTTTCAGACCCATAGTCAGGAACCTGCAAGCAGATCCTAACTCTAAACCAGGCTATGCTCCGAGTTCAGATCTGCTATATACCTACAGCAGAGGGGAGGAGCGCCTGTGCATTCCCCAGGATCAGCGGCTCAGGACACTACTGATGTCAGAGGACACTACTAATGTCAGAGTGTCATGATGCCCGTGGACATTTTGGGTTCCTAAAGTCATATGCAGCCCTGTCGCAACGCTTCTTCTGGAGGGAGATGCGGAGTGATATGCTGCGCTATGTGGAAACCTGCGAACTCTGCCAAAGGAATAAGGTCCAGCGTAAGCCTCCTCTGGGACTGCTCAAACCCTTACCCATACCTGATGGCCCTGCTGAATCTGTGTCTATAGACTTCACAGATTTAGGCAAGACCACTCCTTGTGGCATGCGTCAGGTTATGGTCTGCGTTGACAGGTTCTCCAAATACGCAGAGTTCATCCCCTTGCCAGAAGTAGCTAGAGTTTCGGCTGTGAGAGCAGCCTTTTCAGAGAGGTGGGTCACACACCATGGACCGCCCACTTCTATAGTCAGTGATCGAGACCCCATATTTTGCAGCGATGAGTGGCAGTCCTACTGTAAGAACCATCTACACTCACGATTGGACATGACTTCTGGTCATCATCCTGAAGCCAATGGTCTGGCTGAAGTGATGAACCAAGTCTTATTCCAATTGTTGCGTCCTGTCATCTCTCCAGATCAGCGGACTGGGATCTTCACTTGGCTCGAGCACAGCTTGTGTATAACATGTCTGTCCGTCCTCGACTGGGTTCAGTCCATACAGATTGCACTGGGGACGTGAGCCACGACATCCTCTCAATGATATCATCGATAAGGCTAAGTCTGATCTGACTCCAGGCACCGCAGAGTTTATCAGACGCTACCGCATAGATGTGGAAAAAGCACGGGGGAACTTGTTCAAAGCCCAAAAGGCGATGATTGAACAAGCTAATCGCCACAGGCGGCCTTCCCCCATCCGCACTGGTGATCATGTTTGGGTAGCCAGTTTTGAGTTGTCGAGGGAGGAGGATATCTCCCCCAAGTTGTTGCCTCGTTACCTGGGTCCATGGCAGGTCTTAGATACAGTGGGCGCTGATCCATTCAGTCCATCCTATGTCATCGACGTCCCGTCTTCCATGCATCTAAACTGCTTCCCTTCACTCCAGCTGATGCATTCCCAGACCGGCCCCCTCAGTTTGGTCCACTGATCCCTGGCAAGGGATATGACGTGGAATGGATTGAGGATGAGTGGGGCACAGGCCCCGATCGACAGTATCTTGTGAGGTTCGCATTCCGGCCTCCTTATGAGAACAGATGGTTCTACAGAAGGGAACTTCTCAAGACAGCAAAGTCAGTTGTTTTACGATATGAAGCGGCTCAGAAGGGGAACCTTCCTCGCCGTTCACCTCGTCTTCATCCCTAGCTCGGACGTCCTCGCTCCCCGGGGGAGTAAGCCTGGAATGACTTGCTGATTTCGACTGCTGAGACTGACTTGCGCGGTTGTACAGTGCGCTATGTGCTTTGCTGTGTTTTTTTGGTTTGCACTGAGGGTCGCCCGCTATTCTAAAAATAGTTGGGATTAACAGCGGCAGGGGCTGAGTGGTTACAGGCCCTAAGTGGCCCTGAGCCCTAAGTGCAGCAGTAGGACTGGTTTCGTAGAGGCCGAGTAAGCCCTAACTGAACCGGTACCGGTAGGCCCTAGGCTAGAGTAGTGTACAATCTACAAGTAGGTTAGGATAGGACTGTTGGGGACTTTTTGCCAGTTGATTTTTCGCGCATTTTGGAGCCAAGGAGGTTGGGAACGGCGATTGTCTGCAGGCGGTACCCTGAGACCCTCACTGTGGACAGCAGCCATAGCCAGCCTGCTGAGGGCTTGCCATAGCTGGGGCACCCCCTGCGCATCAACCCCTGTGGGTTTCTGCGAGTGGCTGGGCTGTGTGGAGACTCCTCACTGAGTCTATGTGGGTGGCGGCAGCCATAGCTGTC